AATATTCCCAGAGTCAAACTCAATGAAGTGGTGGTTTGTGCTGACTGACTGCTGAGCGCAACAAACATTGATGGCCTGGACCCAAAAAATATTCCTGCTTACTGCTCTGTGCTCCATGTAATTCTTCCCGTCTCCTGCTCGCAGCAAAAGTGGTTGACACCAAGTCCTTGGGTGAGGTTCAATCAAGCCAAGATGATTGCCAAAATAGGGTCTTTCAACAGTATTTGTTTCCCCACAAGGCACCCGAAGCATGCCACAACCAACACATCCAGAGTGCTTGTGCAAATTTTTACATGTCGAGAATGCCCACACCACCACCTAGCTTAGTACTATGTAATACTTATTTAGTACCGTAAATATTAGCATTGAAAGGATTGAGATGCCCAAAATTAGAGGGTTGAATTGGGCTAATATAAAATTCTCACGGGAAATTAAATCTATCACTTAGCCCACTTTACCCATATGCCTACCAAGTGATATGTATGTCTACTTTTACAAAAGTTTAGCACCCTACTAAGCTCCAATCTATGAAAGGAACATGACGATGTATCCCGATGTATCGGAGAGCCGGCACTTTAGACTAGTCCTCGTTGGAGCACTAATGGAGTCCATAATCTTCGATTATGACATCCAAATCACTCCACTAGGCCAAAGCTGTCTCTTGATGCCAGTGGACGTAGCTAGAACTTCAAATGTCCAAGAGAACCAAATAGCACGAGTGGAGGGTGTATATATAGGGCTCACCCTAAAAACTAACCGTTGGAACTCCACTCTGCCAAAATACACTCATTGAAAAGCTACAATGGTGTCTTTGGATGAGATGGTATCTTTGGATGAGCACCAGATTCTGATGCATTTCCAATGGCAACTAGCCGTTACTTATCTGCCCTTTACTCCGATGCTTCTCCGGTGACACCATCGTAGAATTCCGGTGGCCCAAAAACAATTTTGGAAAAGGTTTTTTGGCCAGGGTTGAAGCTCCGGTGACCTCACCAGAAAATTCCCGTGGGTTTGGGAGCTCTTTCTTCCCTGTGCTGCTTCACTATGCACTTAGACTCAGAGCCTAAGCTCCGGTGATATTTATCTGGTGACCACATGAGAATAGTCCTTTAATTAGCACAGTACTCTGATAGTCATTTAACACATGGCCTAAGCTCTAGTGCTCCTCTTATTCTAGCACTTTTGAAATCCAATGGTCATGTAAACCCTCCATTTCATCCAATTCAATCACTTTTGAAAATGGCTCGACTTCCAATTGATCTTAGGGCTTCATCTGAGCTATGACCTAGCACCACATCCATTCACTAGGCCCACCTAGGTCAAGCTACCCATTCATACCCCTCTTTATAGTACGGTCAAAAGATAAAACAAAACGGAAACTACTCTAAGTGTCTCCCAACATCAAATAGCACTTAGAACTAGTCCATCCTCAGCCTTGTCGCTCATCTTTCAGAACGCACACAATAACCATTGTTAGGGGCACGAAAACCATAATTGTCTGCCAATCAATCATCATTGTGACCTCACTAATTAATGTCGCTATAAAACACACGTCAGTCATAATGATTATGACGATATTAATCGCCAAGACCGAATTAGGGCCTAGATATGCTTTCAAGTATATCTTTTATATAAATTTGGTCAAACTTCATATGATTTGATGACTTAGAACGAAGCTAGAATTGTATTCCTTTGCATGAGATGTAGTGGAATGTGTATTCATATGGTTCATTTAAAATGTTATTGTTGCATCACTAATAATGGCCCACGAAATTAATGGGTGGCTGTGTATATATCTTTTAGTGACAGGTTGTTAATTGTAACTTGTAAGATATTTCTTCTTTTCTCTTATAGCACAAGTAATTCTGGTCATCTCCATTTTCTTATATGATCACAGCTATTATATTAATATTTTATTCTGTTTTTACGTACAAGTTCAGGCTTCAGGGCATACTCAACTTTGTTATGAGAAAAGTCTACGCGTTAGCATGTATGGAGGATTCAAGAAGGTACGAAATGAAACGTTTTCCGTGCTTTAGACACTATGACTGCGAAACATATTATTAGCGTCAAGTTAAGAAGTTGTAGAAGTTGAAGGAAACAGACAATAAACTTTATCTGTGTTCTCAATCGCAATTGAAGCTTGAATGAACTTCATTGTTCAATATGTTTTTCTTTGAAAAAGTAGGCCCATCCCCTACGGGTTGTTATATTATCAAAAAAGGCATATTGTCCATCAATATTTTAAATTTTAATAATAAAGCTTGTCCTGGCCGGAGCTGTTCGGCTGATGGTTTCTGCGGCTGATAAGCCAGCTAAAACTGATTTATTGCGAGAGAAAAATATTGTTCCATGGCTGATAAACCAGGCTGATAAGTTCAAGCTGATTTGTTTCATTTTTCTTAGAATTATCGCACATGCTGCCGTACTTTTAAAGTAGCTTGCATCGCATCATATTAATATTATTCCCTTTGTTTCAAATTATAAGATATTTAATTTTTATAGATACATAGTTTTAACTATACATTTGAATACACTATGTCTAAATATATAGTATAAACAATGTATCTTGAAAAAAATCAAAAAAATCTTATAATTTGAAACTAAGAGAATAGTTTCGTATGAACTTCTGATGTTGTCTTGTTTCCCGGTTTCTTATTATGAGGTTACAGGATCGTTATCGGGCACAGCGACGGAATAGCAATTGTGGATATTGATCATTATGACACTGCAAACTGATATAGTGATATGTCAACGAGGGCCACCTTTTTCGTGTTGGTAGCTGCCGTACAGGGGCGAACAAGCTAGGGGTAAAATTCCCAACCGCCGCCACCACCGTACGTCCTCCTCCACCGTATTTCCTCGGTCCCCCCTCCTCTCTTCTGACCGGAGATCTCGCTGGTGGACAGCGGACCGGGGATTTAATCTCTTCATAAGGGCAATGAATTTAGTTGGCTTTCGATGCGACAATCTCAACCTATTTTTTTGTTTGCTCTACAACAAGGTTCGACATCTTCAACACTCTGTTCTGACGGTGAATGACTGTAAGTCTACGTTATTTGGAGGGTTCCTCCAGGCTCTAGTCGATGTTCTTCAGTGGGTTCTAGATCTCAATGTCAGCTTGGAGTGGCTTTTGTGGTCTTCAAAGCCTTGTTTGGCAAGAGTATTTGTAGGTGTCTCTTTTCTGAGGCTTTTACCAGTGTGTCATTATAAAAGTTGATAAGTACCAATAAGTCATTAAAAAAGTGCTCACAGGTGCCACTGCTCTAAACTCTTTTGTCCTCCACGCCACTTCTGTTAGATTTAGCTCTAACGGTGTCAACGGCGGGTGTGAAAAGTCAAAAATACCCTTAGAATATGCAATTAATTTTTTGGGCATCTTAATGACCTCAATTGAAAAAACTCAAAACTGAAAAGTTATAGATCTCGATAGTATCTATAATTTTTGTATAAAAATTATCTTCATTTAATTTCGTAAAAAAATGATTTGGTATGATTAATATGTCTTAGAAAAATCACATTTTTTGTTTGAAATCAAATGAAGATAATTTTTATAATACTGTAGATCTCGATGAGATCTACAACATTTTAGTTTTGAGTTTTTTCATTTGACATGGTTAAGATGTTCAAAAAAGTTAATTGCATATTCAGGCCTGAGGGTATTTTGACTTTTTATACCTGCAGTTTGACACCGTTAGAGCCAAATCTGACGGAAGTGGCGTGGAGGGCAAAAGAGTTCAGAGCAGTGGCACCTATGAGAACTTAACTTTTTAATGGCTTATGAGGTAATTACCAACTTTTATAATGGCACATAGGTAAAAACCTCCTCTTTTCTTTGCTGTCTTTATAGTGTGATCTTTAAGCACCAGCAGTTAGTGGACGATCGAAGGAAGAAGGCGACCATTTTGGTCTTTAATATACTCTTATTTTTTAGAGACCATCCTTTTATGTTTTGTTGTCCATTTTTTGTATTAGCCTTTGTTTTCCTTGAGATATATCGGTTGTGAGGCACTCTTTTCATTGTTTCTATAAAAAAAACTACCGAACAGGGAACATCTCTAATGTATTAGCTTATATTTGGACTTACGGAAAAGGCAAAACTCTTTTTCGTTGTTCTTAATTTAATAAAGCTTGTTGTTATAAAAAAAATGGTGTCTGAACCTACGCTGTATTGCTGTATTGCTGTGACGCGTTACGCCTTGGAAGGTAGTAGCTGCCAACGCTGGATCAGCTCGTGCGGCTGCTTCTGGTTAATCGCGCGTGCAACGGCCTGAATAACCAAAAGCTTTCGAACCAGTTGATTCAGGCGTTGCCTAGTTCGATACAACTGCCCTGCCAGAACAATTTCGAGTACCAATATTGTCTGATCAAGGTGGTGACCAATTGACTTAAACATTGCAATCGAAAAAAAACTGGTGTTCTGAGCACAAAAGGGTATCTTGGCAGCAGATTAAATGTTTGCAAAATTCTGTCAATGCTACCAAACTTGTGAACGAAAGAATAGCAAATATGACCTTGAACCAAATAGTTAACGAACATCGGACCTATTTGGAGATGATGACACTATTACTGTCAAGATGAAGGTTGACTGGTTGAGCAAGGCTAATCTTTTGCAGGTTCTGCTACAGGAACCTGCTTATCGCTAGGTTTTGCAGACAGTTCTCCACAAAACTGTGCTTCGTCAGCAGCAGCCAAAAAAAAACGTAGCAGACTCAACGGACAGAGCAGATCTCAGTACTAATGCAATTGAAAAAAATTTATAAATTCGGAAGCAATCTGCTGCACCAGTAACCCAGAGCCAGAGCATATTTGTAACAAAAGTACACCTTACATAAGTTCAACTCATCTGTACATTTATGGTTCACTATTGTTATCTTACAATAAGTATGCACCAGAGCAAACAGAATCCACATAATGACCGAAGAACCAATCACCCTGTAATGGGACGGGCTATTAAACTTTTAGCCCCAAACTTAGAAAAATCTAACTACAATTTCTCCTCAATGCAGCCGGAACAAATTCTCAATGGAAGGGCCAATGGACAAAACTTCGTCCACCCTTAGGTTCACATGGGGCCTGGAAATGGTAAATAAAGCCAGGCCATTATTGGTGATCTTGGCACAGCCATTTATATGCAGAACTTCGAGGCGCGGACAGCCATTGCCGAGGGCCAGCAAACTCTGGTCACATATGTGTCGGCAGCGGTTCACATGCAGCACTCTTAGCTTATTGCAGTACAGCCCGATTGCAGACCAGCCAGGTAAATGGACCCCGTGGCAGACAGCAAGGTTCCACTCCTCAAGCAATGGGCACCCACTGGCTATTGCTGTCACGGAATCATCTGTGAGGTAGCGACACATCCTGAGATTCAGGATGCAGAGGCTTTTAGCAAAAGCAAGGTTACCCAGGCCATCCAGACCAGTTGAGCTTCCTAACTTGTGCAAGTTCAGGTACTTGAGCCCACTGCCACTAACTACGTCCAACAAACCATCTGGAGAAAACATGCAAGACTCAGCTTCAAGGTAACAAAATGAACTTGAACAACCTCTGAATCCAACACCAGACAGACGCCTGCAACCTGTAATGATTAGTGTGCAAATGTTTGAACAATTGCTAAGGATTGCAGAAACCCCTTGGTCTGAAATGCCCATGCAAGAACCAATATTTACACTCTTCAAAGCGTGGCAGCCTTTTGAAAGACTTCCCAAACCAACATCTGTAATATTAAAGCAGCTTTGAAGTTCAACAACCACCAAATTAGGGCACCCAATTGCCACCTGTGCTAGACCATCATCTGTTATACCAGAACAGCAGTAGAATGAAAGGGATTTTAGAGATGATCCAGACATTCTCAGTGTGCTCAAAGCTGACTCAGGTAGCTCTGTGAGTCCAGCAAGGGATATCCGGTTAAGACAAGGTGAGTGAGCCAATATCTTGGGGATGCACTTGGCATGCTCCTTGTCTATTGTAGGGTTAAAAGAACAATGGAATGTTAGTGATTTCCGACCAAGGTTTCGAACCTTGAACCAATTCTTGCAAGTTAAACCAAAAGCACTCCTCTCTAACTCACTTTCTAGCTTGTTAAATATAGAAAGCAAGCAATCATCAGATAGGTAACTGATGGAGTTCTCTAAGCTGACATCTATTGTCTCTCTTTCCATATTTGACTTACTGAGTCCCGTCTGAAGGTTGGAGTGCTTGGATCTTTATTAAATACTTCTGGGATGTACTGGAGGAAGATGAACTTGCTGGATCAAAATGACACAAAACAGCTGGCTCACCGTATCCGTAGCCAATAGATGCTCCACATTTTCGGCAGAGAAGCTTAGTTTTTGGCCTGTAACTACGCCAGGCGAGGGGAAAGCAAGATACCTCGTCCACCTGAGTAAATCGGCTGAGATCAACAGAAATGAATGAAATCAGTCCTTTCTTCAGAGACTTCTTATATGAGGATCCTACTTCAGATGTGCTTCGGTTAGAAGATGAAAGGTTTAGAGGGTATCCACAAGATCCACAACTGTCAATACAAATGTAATTGTTGTCAGGACATAGATACAATATATGGTACCCAGAAGATGACATTGCATTAAAGAGTTTTTTGACCAATCGAGCTGATACTTAGAAGCCAATAGTATTACATTGAACTCATCTTGCTATTAGTGAAAACTGTATCAAATAAAATAAAAACTGCATTTGGCAGCTGAGGGAAACAGCAACGAGAAAAATATGGTATCATTAATGCCATGACAGAGAAAAGAAATTAACAAACAATTTACCTATCTAAGAAAATATCATTTCACATGAAGATTTTCCTTGGTGTTAATGAGGAAATGAGAAATGAATGCTTTTTATCATCTTTATATATTACATAGCAACCGTAATGACATTTATGATTCCAAATATTATCAATGGTTGAATCCTAACAAGTTACTACCCGCAAAGAGTGGTGTCAAACTATCATATGCTTGACCAAGTTTATAGAGAAGATTATTAACATTTATGACACCAAATAGATTTACTTGAAAACATATTTCATGATAAGTTTAATGATATTTATCTGGTATCATAAATATTGGTATTTTTTCGTATAAGATTAGTAAACTTATAGATTGTTTGACTTAGGACAAAACCAGTATGACACTTGACGGAGGCAGTATATAAATACATGGGGTGTTGTCCAGCGTCCAGATTTCTATGTATATAGAAATTTTCAATCAGTTGTGTAAACAAACTACATCACTACACTTGCTGATGAGCATCGAACCAAAACAGCTGACGCTAACGCAAAACCCTTGTAACGTCCTTTTACTATGTTTCAAGTTTCCATTGGCTAACTGTAATCCGACAACGGATGACACCTACCGTGCAAATGTACGTTGCTTTATGTTCAGTTTCAAGGAGCAGCGCCACGACAACACAAACTCTAAGTTTTACAAGGTCATTCCAGCAGCAAGCCCAGGTGTAGCGTGCTCACACGGCTGTCCACAAGAAAGGATATTGCAAGGCGAATCCCGACAAATTCAGACATCGCACGAAACCGTTGCACGGATGAGCTCACTACAGCTTCTGGAAATTAGTGTAGCCCCCCAAATTCCAGCAGCATGACTCTTTTTTCGGCAACAAATAGATGGCCATCAAGTTAGACATTCTAAGTAACAAACATCGTGGGTGCATCACCCAAACAACCTGTATCCTGGTTGGTAAATCAGCTCAATTAGACTAAGGATTACTTCATCAGGCCAAGACCGTGCCCAATTTCTGATCAGGCATGTAGAATACATACAGTATACAGGCCAAGACCGTGCCCAATTTCTGACCAAGCACAAGGGTTATGGATTGCGTATTTCCTGTTCTTGGTTCAGAAACTAGAATAGGACACCAAGATTCCCACTCCAAAAGCAAGGTATCACCCCCAGGACAGCTATCAGCAAAGAATAATAATAATTCAATCACCCAACAGCATCCATCCATGGCCCACCCCGATTCACCCGTAACCACAGGCAAGAACCGGATCCAGACTCCTCGCCTCCCACCAGAACGACCGAAAATGGATCAATTGACGGTGGAATCGAGCGAGTGAGCGGTGGTAAAAATCACCTGTACTCGACGTCGCGCTGGGACATCCTCGGGCCGCAGGAAGATCGGGAAGTCTCATGGATCTAGGCGACGTCGCCTGGGGCAGTGGGCCGCGGTCAGGCGGAGGCGGCCATGGTCGTTGAGAGGCTCGTTGGTTTGCAGGTGGAGGGCCGGAGGGGAAAGGAATTTGGGGGAAATGACAATGACTTTGGCAATCTTTGGCTCAATGGCTCCTTGGGGGCGGGCGGGCGGACGGACGCGCGGGCGGCCGGCGGCAGACGTGTGTGCGACTCCGTTCCTGGTCGGCCGGCTGTTTCTGTTTGACTCTACCGTTGCCGTTTCGGGTTATTAAAGTGGCTGATGCGTGCAGGGGATTATTAGTATTTTTTTTATTTAAAAAGCTCCTTTTTCTGTTCTATAGACAAGCGGTCTCTTGTGAAAGAAAAATGACTTTAAAACATGTGGTGTTGTAGTAGAACTGATGAATTTTTTCCTATCATTGAAAGGTCAAGAACATCCCAATGACATTCAGTTGTGAGATTTATTTAGTGGAAATAAAGCTCAAGCAAAGATGGAAGTGTCTAGGTGACATTTAGTTGTTTTGGCCTCTTTTGTCGAATTTTTTCATGCACTTACACTATCATCTAGCTACATTTACACTGTCTTACTACTATATTTATAATAATTTATTTAGTGTAATTTGTTGGACATGGTGATATAATTTGGGGATAACACAATATCTCAAACAAATATATGCTAAATTTAAAAAAAAAATTATAAATTTTTTCAATAGATTCCATGTACCAGAGAAATATATGTCAAATTATTTATAAATGTCATCAAATTGTTCACAAATTTACAAATAGACAGACAGCAGAGAAGATCTCGTCTTGGAGCAGCAGAACAAGGGAGAGGAAGAGATCGAGGACGGCGGCGCACCGGGGACAGCGGCGCTCGCGCCGGGCGGCGGCGGCGGCCTGGCGACGTCCTGGGTGCGGTGCCCCGGGGGCGGCAGCTTGGGGGCAGAGCGCGGAGCGGGGAGGAAGCCGCGAGTGTAGAGATGTGCAACGGATGGATGGCAGATCGGGCTTTCTATGCGGATCGAGCGCACACCAATTCAGCTGATGGAGGCCAAGAATCAACCTGTTGAGAAATAGCATTTCTTATAAAAGATTCTTAGTGGCAATAGGATGATAAGTTGCTTGTTTGGTCCAAAAATAACTGCACATTTCGCTTTTCAAAAGTTAAACTTTTTAAGTTCAGTCAAATCTCTACTATACGAAGAAGGAAGTGTCTGTTAGTCTGCCAATCCGTTCTCGTCCAACCTCTCCGACTCCGCCCGCCTACGTGCGCGCCTTCGGGACCAAATTCTTATACAGCGCGCGTGCGCCGAGCGAGCTAGCAACGCGCGTTTTCTATTTTCGGCACCTGCCTCTTCTAACATCTGGCACCTTCCGTTTTTGTTCTGGATATCTGAAACGTTGTCGCCATTTAAATATTTCAAACAGCACCGCCTATTTCTCCTTTCTTTCCGCTCAACGAGCGTTTCTTCTTCTAGCAGGAGGCGGAAGCTCCTACGCCGCCACCGCAGGCTCGATTTGGGTGGCCCCAACTGATCTTCCCCATCCACGGCCCCAATTGATCTTCCCCGTCAACGTGGAGGCGAAGAGGGCCGTCAAAGTCAGGTGGCCATCTGGATTCGTCGCCGGCGAGGCCTCGATTTGGGGTGGATTCGGCGACGCGGCCTCGATTCGAGGCGGAGGCGGTGGAGGCTGATTCAAGCATGCTTCGGGCTGAGGAGTGAGGGGCCCTACGAATCCGCCGCCCGTCGAGACCCGGCATCTGCAGTCAGGACTGGGAACAAGGATCCGAACTCTATTGCGACACGACTGCCAGCCACGCGGCTGCGAGGACATCGACATCGTCACCGGCGACGGTCTCGAACGACTCCAGCTCCTCTAGGTACGCGCCACCGCTTCGTCCGCCAGCCCCTCCCCGCTCTTCACCCCTCTGCTCCCGCCGGGTGCACATGCGAGATTTGTATGCATTGCACCGGTCGTTCCGTGATCCCCAACGTCATGTTCCGCGGTCGCCAGGACATTGGTGTCGACTCGCACGTCATGGTGGTCTCCCTTTTTGCGGCCGATGCCTGGTTAGGCGCCCGCATGGTCCTGGACAAGGCGGTTGCTAGTACATATAAAATATATACTAGTATTTATGAACATCTCGCTTTTTAAAGAGTCAAACTTTTTTAAAGTTCAGTCAAACATATATAGAAATATATTAATATTTATGACACATAATATGTATTATTAGACTAAATGTGTTTTCAAAATAAAAATATTAGAAGATATAAATGTTAATAATATTTTAGTCTAATCAAACTTAAAAATGTTAGACTTCTAAAAAAAAGATGTGCTAGAATGGATGGAGTGCGTAATGATCTAAGAACATCTGGATATAAAGAAAAAGAGAGAAAATATGAGAAGCACCGTGAACTCCACAAAGTGGCTTTAGCGATAAGATGATGTCAAATGACGAGTGTCCAAAAGAAAGAAGCTAAAAAATAGATTTTTGGGTTGTAAAAAATTATTAGGTGAAGAAAAACAACTTACTCAAAGAGTGCTCTATACGTATAAGGCTGGATAACGAGCTGGCTCGGCTCGTTTGGGCTATGCTCGTTCTGGAGCTCGGCTTGGCTCGTTATCCTAACGAGCCAGAAAGCCAGCTCGGCTCGGCTCGTTAAAAGCTCGAGCTGGCTCGTTAAGCTCGCGAGCCAGGTATAAAAAATACATAAAATATAATATTTGCATTTATCTAAAGTTTGAGAATAATAATAATACAAAAGAATTGCATCTAGACTAGTTACCAGTCAATTTATAGGGTCTAGACCAGTTACCAGTCAATTGTAAAGTGCAAGACATGAAGTAATATAAAAACTAATACAAGTTTTGATACTTTTTTTCCTGAAAGCTTGGCTCGTTTAGCTCGCAAGCGGCTCACGAGCTGGCTCGAGTTGGCTCGTTATAGCTAACGAGCTAAAATCTCGGCTCGGCTCGGCTCGAACGAGCCGAGCCGAGCCGAGTCGAGCCAGCCACGAGCCGAGCGAGCTAACGAGCTTCGAGTTTTTCGTCCAGCCTTATATACGTAGCGTCTAGAAGCTTCGGGAATGGCGCGCATCAGGTGGGCCAACTTTGTGGTGGGTTATATGCAAATATTCCATGACTAAAAAATATAGTGAAAATAATATATAATTTCTTGGGGCACCCTTTTTCGAAAGCTGGATATCTTGGATTCTTGGGCACGGTGGCCGGTTGCTTTGTTGGTTGTTTGACAAGTGTCGGTGTTTTTGACCATCGACGAGTAAATTTGTATTTGCGCGTCTGACTTGGATTGTGTGCTCGGAGGACACGAGGGTTTATACTGGTTCGGACGGAACGTCCCTACGTCTAGTTCGCTGCTTCTCGTGTTACCGGCACTTGGTTTGCAGTAGATGTTACAAATAGCCAAGAGAGGGAGAGGATCCCAAGTCTCTGGTGGAAGGAGTGAATGGGTGCTGAGAGCTCGCTTGCCGCTCAGCCGTGTGCTCGTGTCGTGCTCTTGTGTCCAGATCCCCCCAGATCTCCCCTTTTCATGGGGCGCCCTGCTTCCCCTTTTATAGACGAAGGAAAAGCGCAGGTTACAGATGAGAAAAAGGAGAAGAACGAGAGAGAAGAAGGCTTCTAGGGTTGTCGGGTTCTTCTCCTTCATGCGGGTCCCACCGATCTTGTAGATGTCAATAGGGACAGCTCCATGTCGCGGCCCTGTTCGTTACTGGCGCCACGCGCAGGCGCATCTGTCAGTCATGGCGTTCCACTCCGTCCCCGCGGATGTCGTGGTAAACTGACACGCCTGTCATCGTCCGTACGACGAATAGGTAGAACAGCATCGGCACGCCCGACACTGTTCTTGATGTGAAACCCCAGGTATGGCCCGTCATGGCCATGGGTTACATCGAGGCGTGCCAGCCTCTTCCCTGGCGTCAGAGTTTTGACTGAGGCCCATATGCTTGGACCTGGAGTGGTTGAAGGCGGTATAGGTCCCCGTCGGACGAGACGGAACCCGCATCCTCGAGGTCAAGCGAGACGGAAACCGCGTCCTTAGGGTCGGGCGAGACGGGGCCTACACCCAAGGGGTCGGGCAAGACGGAGCTCGTGGCCTCGAGGTCGGGCAAGACGGAGCCAGCACCCTCGAGGTCGGGCGAGACGGAGCCCACGGCCTTGGGCAAGACGGAACCCGCGTCCTTGGGGTTGGGCGAGACAGAGCCTGCACCTAAGGGGTCGGGCGAGACGGAGCCCATGGCCTCAAGGTCGGGCGAGACGGAGCCCGCAACCTTGGGGTCGGGCGAGACCTTTTAATATGTCTTGAGCCATCTGGGGAAGTCAGCGTGGGCGCTAACTTCCTTGCTTTGGATATCCCTAATATCGATACCCGACAGTAGCCCTCAAGCCTGCGGAGGAGTAGAATACTCCTTTGGAGGCTTTTTCGAACGCGGGGACTCCGAAGGCCTTGGCCTTCTTTTTGTAGCCCGCGGCATGTCCTGGTAGGACGACGATTCCCTTTTGTCGTGATCGGTCTTCTTGGGGGCATGTAACCATAGGATTCGGGAGGTCGGAAAGATTTTTCTTGATTCCGGTCACCTAGGATCTGATCGGCCCGCCGTCGTACTGCGACCGTGCGTTCGGTCTCCTTGAGAGTCCAACTTCCCTCGAGCCCCCGCGCATAGCAGGGGTCTGGTCGAGGGTTGGCTCGTCTTTGTGATCGTCATCCCTCAAGCGTTTTTGTCGATAAAACGAAGGGGTTGAGCCGTGCCACGTTCTTCCTCAATGGACGAAACATGGTGCTCGGTGAGCTATTAACGGACTAGTCCGAGTGGGGCCTCGGTTTCCCATTCATGGGGGTCCGGCATGGGTCAGCTGGTGACCAACTCTAGGCTCTTGGAGGCCAATTCATATAGTTCTTAGGTCCGTTCGGCCAGTCCCAAGGGCTCGTTCCCTTTCTTCAGGGA